CTGACAAAGTTAAGTTATGGCCTCTTTCTTTAAATGCCTTTATCAACCCCTTGTACTTATTAATTAGCTCCCCTGACCTACATCATTAGCCCCTACATGCACCACAAGAACTGCATCTCTGCTCGCCCCTTTATTATATTTTCTGCTCTGTCAGTTATATCCTCCACCTGTGCCCCTGGGTAGGATAATCTGATTCTTTTCTCCCTATTTACCCCACAGACTATCTTATCCTCGTGTCTCGTCAATGAATCACCTATAACTATAACCTGCTTAGTATCCACATCTTTCTCTGACCCTTTAGTTTTCCTTCCCTCAATAGTTCCTCATCTGCAGAAGTCAAGGACTGAAATCTGTTGTTCAACAGAATAGGCTCATTATAACTAAGTTCATTACTTTTTACTCTAATAGTACTCTTTCTAACTTCCTGAAAGTCATTGTTAGCTGATGTATTCCTCGTATGTTTAAACTTAAGCTCCTCCTGAAACCCTGCTGCCATTTCCCACAGTCTACACTTCTCTTTAGTATTAGTTTGCCATTAGTATCTTTCAGTTATATACATTACGAGTCTTGTGTCCTTCCTGTTAGTAGCTAATGGTTGTACAGGTATACTGTAATAAAAATAATTTACAATTACGATTCTCCTTCAGTGTATTTGTTTTTGTTATCACTGTTATAAAACAATGCAGACAATAAGAAGACTTTATACCAGACAAACTGTATGTTACTGGATATAATTTTCTAATTTAATACACCTCTATTCTGGTCCCACACTTTTGTAGTCTAAGAAGAAATGATTTTTGATTCATGTCAGAACAAGTACAATGTTGTACATCACGTGTTGTATCAACACCGACATACATACATATATTCCGTTACATTTTCAAATATTTATGTTGGTCGTATTTAGTCCTTGAGTACAATAATACAACTATGTTTTTCATATTAATACATTTATCTCTTCCCAAGTCATAATTGTAGTATTATAAAGAGAGCATGAGCTGACTGTAAACCGAATAATACAACTTTGAGCAATGTTTTATTCAAGATTTATCAACAAATATTTCTGTTTTTCTAATGCACATAAATTTGTAAGATATACCCGAAGAGATGTTTTTTTTTTTCTCAATATAATCACTTGGTAATAATTTTCTACACCATTTTTTTTCTTTTGCTCAAGTGACATCAGGTAGCAGCACTACACTGACTCACCACAAGTTAAAAATTTATAAATGTAAACTTCCTTATTCGTTTAAATGCTTATGTAACTCTGCACGACCCAGTTTATGTTAAAAATTTGTGAAGTTTAACAACCAGTGAGTGATAGAAATTTGCTTCTTAGTTAGATGAAAGGATGGAATACTGTTGAATTTACTGGCATAGTATTCCTTTAAACTTCACTTAGGGTAGTTCCTTAATAATTTCCTTCTTGTCTCCCAACTAATGTAAGGAGCAGCTCAGAAAGATTGGTAAGAATGTTTTCTTCACCAGTTAAAAATACTTTACTGATTTTTTTCTCATGTCAGTGAATTTATTCTTTGTTTCCAGCTGATATGACTTGTGTTTGTTACTTTTATTTTACTTGATTATATATAGATATATACATGCACAGAAGTTGAGTACGTTATATTAGAACTATTAAAGTCCATGTTGCCATGTCCAGTCATGCTCTATATGACAACTGTGCATCTTGACAATAGCCCTATAGCATATTTTCATTACAAAAGGCTCCTTGGTATGGCTGTCATGTCCAAATCACACCAGTCCTCAATACTAGTTTATAATCCATCTAGTGGATGAGGATGATGGTTTCCTAATGTCTTTTTCTGCAGTCTGATTGCAGAGAGATCCATAGGCTTTGTGTGCAGCAACTTCACTGGTATGTCTTTCTATTGAACTACAAAAATACCCATTTCATTCTCAAGCTACTTGAATTATGGAATGGTTGAGCTAATATGTCATGGGAGCAACTTTCGTCACATCTCCAAAGAGATCTTTCTTAATTATATTACATACTGTTGCAACATACTGTAGGGCTCATGGATGGCTTTTGCCATTGATCTTTGTTTCGTAGATTCTCACTTATTACAGGGCACTGCACTTAACTTTCCAAGGTAGGGTACAGTTTTTTGCAGGTCTCTTTCTGGAAGGTCCTGGTGCCCCAAGTTGATCCACGTTCCTTTGTTTTACACTATAATTAAGTATGAGGGATATTCCCACCTTGGAAATTATAAATCATTAATCTGAACGTATATTTATGATCTGAGTGTATGAATATTTTCTGTCAGAAAGAGTTGTTACATATTTTTCCTAAAAGCAATCAGTTTTCTGTGGTATCACACTACCCACGAAATGCCAAAAGTCAAAATGTAGTTCTGATACATTCCACCTCATTTTTATATCAGCTGTGGTTATGTGACTTACCAATTTGCTATTTAAAATCAATTTAATACAACACAATCCTCTGTAACCACACACTTTATTTAAACAAAAGCCAAAGGAGAAAAAACTGTTGATTTATAACTTTTTTTGCCTGATTTTATGTTAAATAGTGTTAAAAATTTGATGAAGCTACTTATTTGACCTTAAGAGTTTTTATCCATCTACATGTATTTCACTCGTGGTAATTAAGTTAGTGTTAATTTTTTGAGAACAGTATTACTCTTAAACAAATGTAGACATTATTCATTGATTACAGTACATGGTTAACTTTAAAAAGTATATGTGTGTTGAGTTGGTTATTATTTTATCTGTTAATAATATTTTTCAGCATAGGTTTTTTAATGATTTGTCCACAAGCAATAGTCAACTTTTGATGTTCATTGCACTCAATTTGCAATTATAAAAGTATTTTATAATAGTGAACGAAAAAAAAAGAAAATCAATTTCAAAGGTAATCACAAATTCTTTGCTTATAACTTCAAAAAGTAATCTTTGTTACAGTGGTTTTGTTTAAAGTATCCATGTAGGAATGGTTCTTCGGGGGGTGATATTTGTACGTATTAATGTTTCCACGACCTCTAAAATAGTGAAAGTGGATTATCTTAAGATTGACACACACACACAAGCTGTAGAAGCTGAACAATACAGCCTTTATTTAATCTCTGAAAAAAGATAATTTGTAAAGCTTAAAGCTTAGATTACACTCCTGTTTGATCTTACTGGACAAATGCTTGAAACGGCTATACAACACAGGCTATGTAACGAAGGATACAATTACAATACGTTACATGCTACACCTACGTCAAAGAACATAATTACGATAAGACATGGGCAAGAAGTTTTCCAAATTGAGTGCTACGATAACAAACACTCCTTCCTACCTCGAAATATCATTACATGAATAATATTGCTCAGAGAAGGAATAGAAGGGGCTTCATACTAACATGGTTATTTGCTATATTTAATTCTTAGTATGCCTCTTATATTAAAAACTGAGAAAATAATAAGTAGAAAAATATGATGCAACAAACACCAAACGTTAATACTCCGAAGTGGTCAAAGCAGTACGATATAAGCATCACGAAGGCATGTTTTGATCAATAAGGCTAAACATGGCTACAAGTACATGTACCACTCTCACTAAAGCAAGGAAGTTATAGAGCACAATCTGTGCCTTAATACACACATTTTTGAAAAACAAATTCCACCATTCATCACTCAAGCCGTAAAACATACTTTCAGGTTGGTACATTCAAGTTTGTTTGTTTATGCCTGAACTTGATTTAATGAATCTAAAAGCACCTTCAGATCTAGGTATCTCTATTTGCAATATATATATATATATATAATAGGTAATTACAACATGTATAATTGGACTTTTCTTTTTTTTTTTTTTAGAGAATTTAAGACTATTGTTGTATCCATTTCAGAACAGTTATAAGTGATTTTCCTTTATATATATACCTAAATGAAAAAATAAGTGCAGGAGGAGTTGGCCAGACAGAAAAAAGAAAACCTTTAACAGGAGTTTCCACCTAAGAAGTGGTTAAAGAAGGTGCAAGGGTTTCAGAGTGATTACCCCGATGCAATACCAGTGACATTTTGAGCCTTGTTGAGGCGGACTTCTTCAGCATGTCGATCCTGGAAAGAGACGGCATTCTAAGAATTCAATCACATTCTTTGATAAATTGAAAATTTTTCCATTTGTGATTTTATTTCTGTTAGGCTTAAGTGAGAAGTGGAAACTTACACTATAAACTTTTCTTGTGAGAAGTGGAAACTTACACTATAAACTTTTCTTTCTCCTTTTTAATGATTCCTCTATCATGCAATTTTTTTTTTTTAAATTGAAAAGAGATATTATTAAAAACACTAATAATAAAAACTATGTATGAATCAAGTGTAAAAATACTTTATTTCATGTGAAAAGTTGATTTATTGATTAAAACAGTCTTGTTCTCCAAAGTTATTTCAACTATGAAGATTGAAAAAATAAATACCATTAAAACATCAAAATTTCCAGCCGAACTTCATGAAGGTTTCTCCAAAAAGCAATGATATTACAATAAAAAAAAAAGCTAAGAACAGTTACGAGGTGGTGATATCGGAATAACTAAAAGGGAGGGTGGTGAAAAAAAGCCAGCCGACTTTCTCCAAGTTCTACCACACCATCCAACTCAGATGCCATCAACTGCATCCAATCTTCATTACAATGACAGAAAAATGACCACTGCATCTTGTGTCATTGTCCACCTCTCAAGAAAAAGAGGGGAGGAAAGAAGATGAACAATCGGTCAGATCAATAGCAATAATTGTCAAACTCAGGGCATGGATGTAGGTATATTTTCCTGTGTTTTTGAAACTCAGGGCATGGACATAGGTATATTTTCCAGTGTTGTGAGAAAAGAGCATACATTCCACAGATCAATACCTTCCATCAATATCTCCACCACCCCAGGGTGGATTATATCAGTTTAAGTCTCCACCACCCCAGGGTGGATTATACCAGTTTAAGTCTCCACCACCCCAGGGTGGATTATATCAGTTTCAGTCTCCACCACCCCAGGGTGGATTATATCAGTTTCAGTCTCCACCACCCCAGGGTGGATTATATCAGTTTAAGTCTCCACCACCCCAGGGTGGATTATACCAGTTTAAGCCTCCACCAGGGTGGATTATATCAGTTTAAGTTTCCACCACCCCAGGGTGGATTATATCAGTTTAAGTCTCCACCACCCCAGGGTGGATTATATCAGTTTAAATCTCCTGGGGATATCGAAGAGAAACTGCAACTACTGGAGAAGTTCATCAAGGTCCATTTGATCAGTATCTCTCCTCGGTAAAGATAGCATAGCGTGATGGTACAAACAATAAACATGGATGACAACAGCCTCTAGAGATGTAGTAACAGGTACAATCACTGAAAGTGTATGCTGTTTAACCAGCTGTGCTACTTCCTTATTAACCCATCTATCACACAACCAGTCCTTTCTGTTTAGTGAATACTGTTTAATGATTACATTATTGGCAGATTTCAGAAAAATATCTTGTGAGAAGAGACATGATGGAAAAATTGATCAAGGCCCTAATGTCATCTAAATGAGCATGACAGTTCCATCGTATAACAATGAGTATTTTTACTTAGATTATTGAGAAGTCATTTGAAGTATTTTTTTCTCCATGATAGCTCTATGGACCTTGCCTGGGAATGGATCTGATAGGTACCATCAGATGGATGAGATTTGGTAGAGTAAGGGGGAAATAAAAGTCTTGCACATTGAAAGTGGTCTTGATCACTCTCTGCTGTTACTAGTATGAACAAAGATGGGGGTGAAAGTAGACTCACTCTATTGCCCACGGACGTTAACAGGGTGCAGAAGTGGTCGAAGAAAGACTATAGACGTAACAAACAGATCTCTCTGCAGTCATACAGTGGCAGTAGAACAGAGTGCAGCCACATAACTCAGTTTTGGAAGGTGCATCACTGTCTTCCTTGCCTCAGGATATGAGATCTTTAAGGTCTTAATCCTCTATAACTACTCAGTTCATCTTTGGATATGATCTAGAATAACAAGGTTGGAATCCAGAGTGGTAGAAAGAGCATGACTTGTTTTGACACTCGTACTTCCATGGCTTTGTGCTTGTTGTAATGGCAAAGGTACAACAAGATGTTTTGGAGCATCAAAACTGCCGACAGTGGAAGAAACAGTGAAGATTAGGAGTATAAGGCCAAACTATGGATCTCAAGTAAACTGCCTTTAAATAAGGAGGTGGATGTGGTGATTGAAAAGCTAATATGGAAACCCTAATAAGAAAGATATTTCAACCTTACGAGTGGAGATTTTGCCTGACAGTCGATACTCCTCGACTGGAGAGTTCAGCAAGGATTTCCAATTCTGATATGTTAAGAAGATCCCACTCAACAATGACTCCTCCTGAGAAATTCAAAGCATTATGTAGGGTTATTACCTTAACTGGTATACCCCCAATGGCCTTGGATTCCAAAAGGAATTCACAGTCCTCTGATCATAATATTTCAACCAGCAAGTCCTCAGATCTTAATTTCTTGCCTTATTTTGTACAGCTACTAAACCCCTCTTATCCCTTCTGTATGGCGGAAGGAGACATCTTCTTTCCTATCTACATGAATTTAAGGCTAAATTATATGTTGAAATGACCCAAGCATGCACCACAGGCACCATTCAACCATCAGGATCCTCTCTTCCCCTTCATGAGTCACCATGCACAGCAAACACATGGGTGGATTTCTGGATCCCACAGAAGGGGTAAACTGTAGAGGCAAAACCTTCCCTGGGAGGGGAGCCCCCCACCATGTACAGGAATCTATATCAATGTAGAAAATCTGAACCTGATAAAGAGCTATAAGTGTAGGGTCAATTATTAGCAAGTCTGAGATTTAACCTTTTTTGGTATTAACAAGAAAGAAAAGAGCTAGTGCTCACTGTCCCCGTTCAACACGGAGTCCAACAATAGGATGTGCTACACTGGCAAAAGCTCAACTTACTAAGAACACTGTAGCAATGCCATGGTTTCATGGGCACTATTATTCAAACATCAACATGAAACATAATGTCTGCAACATCCACTGAGGAAATCTCTAATACTGTCATTTGGTTGATCCTAATCACAACTGACTATCCAAATGATCCTCAGGACCTCCCATCTACAGGAATTCAAGGCCAAAGTGGTGTGTTGTAGTGATCCAACCATACAATCCAGGCACCACTCAAACACCAGGATCTTCCCTTCACAGTGTGCTATGCACGGCAAACATAAGAGAGTATGTTTGGATTTCAGAAATGGTAAACTGTAGAGGCAGCAACTTCCCTGGGATGTTCCCTTACCATGTACAGGAATACATTATTAAGGGGTGGGATAAACCCCGAACCTGCATTAACAACCCTAGAAGATATTTAAAATATAAGGAACTGAAAATTATCAAAATATAAAATCAAATAATTAATAATGTCGAAAAGTACACAATCTTAATGTGAAAGCATTTTAATTCATAAAATGTAGTATAGAAAGAACCTAGAAAAAATAAAGAATCAAACTTTAAATCCTTACATGTTCCTGGAGCTTGTCTTGCAAAACCTTAGAAAGGTTCTCTCTATTTTCTTGAGCTATTTCAAGTTTCCTTTGAAGGCGGTCTCGTAGCTGGTCAGCTTGTTCATCCAACTGCTTTCGAACGTCTAAGATATGCTTATCCTTAAGAAAGCACAACACACAATATTGCATGTTTATTTCCAAGTTGAAAACAGGTTACATAAAAGAACAATATATAAGATCAAGAGAGTTGGTAAACAAGACATTAGGCAATCAAAAAGGGCATACGAAAGAGAGAGATCTTTAAATACATTAAGGCTAAGCAAAATGTTAGGTTAGTAGCAGGGCCTTTGAGGGATGATAGAGAAAGGCTAATTTCTGATGATTATGAGATGGCTAGGTTACTAAATTTTAGTTTTTCTTCAGTTTCTACTAATGAAGATTTAAGCAATATTCCTTATCCTAAAAAATTAATAGATGCAAACATGACCGAACAAGAAGATCACAGTAATTCTGAGCTTGTTAAGAAAACATTGGAAAGTTTAAAAAATGATAAGACTCCTGGACCAGATAATATTCCCCCAAAGGTTTTGAAGGAGGTTCAGGAGTGGATACGCAAGTGACTTGCCAATATTTTTAAGTCCTTAAATAGTGCCAGAAGATTGGAAGTTGGCTAATGTTACTCCTCTATCAAGGGATGTGATAAAAATTACAGGCTAGTTAATCTTAATCAGATATTAAAAACGTTTTTGAAAATCTTATAAAAAAATACTTTGCAAATTCATTTAACAGAGTTGAAAATATCATGGTTTCATTAGGAGAAAAACCTGCCTTACTAATCTTTCAATGGTCTCTGAAGAGGTTACTGCTGATGTAGACTAGGGTACAGTTGTGGTTTTGGTGTATCTGTATTTTAAGAATGCATTTGACAAAATACCACAAAAAAGGCTTGTTGAAAAACAAAAATATGTGTACTGGCTCATTAGATTTAGATCCAAAAATGACTGGAAGAAAGAAAGCAGAGGGTTATCGAACTGGATTAATGTCACAAGATGGATAATTCAGGGATTCTTTGTTAGGACCTTTGCTTTTTTTTATATTAAGGAGTTTGGTGTTGCTGGCTGTGAGGAGGAGGATGCTTTACAAAATAATTTAGATTATTTGGTGAGTTTGGCAAATAATTGGCAGCTAGTTTTTAAATTATAATAAATTTAATTTAAAAATGAAAATGATATATGGAAGAAAAGTATTTTGGTGTATCAATCTCTTAAGCCAACCAAGCAGTGTGCTCTTACTAGTTATTGAGTAAATAAGTTCTTAGGTTGTATTTCCGATATTGAATACAAGTTTAAAGAAGTTATAATTTCATTGTATAGGTCACTTATTAGGCCTTCTTCGCAGTACTGTGTTCAGTCTTGGGCTCATGAAATACACCGAAATATTGGAAATGGTTTAGAAAAGGGCTTTTGGGATGGTATGTGGGGTAGAAAGATTGTCATACAAGGACAGGGTAAGATCTCTGAAATTGTTTCTCCTTGAGAAAAGAAGACTTAGACAGGATATAACAGAGTTGTTTAAGATTGTTAAGGAAATTGATAGTGTTGATACGTCTATTTTTTTTTTTACTTAATGGTAAGAATGGTTGGATAAAGGCCCACCAATATAAGTTATGTCATCTTAAGGTAAGGCTTGATAAATGATAAGGTCTAGCTTTGAGTTTCTTTTATGTTTAATTTAGTGGATGGGACAGCCTCAATGATCCAACAGTTCTTTGTTGTCCTTAAATGTTATGTTATCACTAAAATACAAAATAAGCAATTATTGTGGAAAGTCTCACAAATTCATAATAGTTTAAAAAAAAAGATGAAAAAAGAGGGATGTCTAGAATAAAAGATTTCAGGAACATTAAAAAGTTAGATGTTAGTAATGTTTTTATTTATTAAGACAAATAACTGTGTTATATGGGATAAATTAAAGATCCATGAATTACAAACATAAAAAAAAAACTACTGAAAAGAAAACACAGCAAGGACACGAGAGCTGTAAT